ATTAGCAATGGCTTTGGCCAACAAAGTTTTCCCACAGCCAGGAGGTCCATAGAACAGAACTCCCTTGGAAGGTGTCATGCCAAACTTGAGGAATTTGTCTGGGTGCTCCACAGGATACTAGGACAAAAAGGAAAGAGGGTTCAAGGCTACCACCATATTCTGAAAGAAAGCTAACTAAACAGAAGCTTCATGGTGTACCCAATGGTATCAGATCCAGGTTCTCTAAAAGCAGACTCCTTAGTGCTCCAAACCTAAGAACAGTAGGTTCCTAAGTTGTGCTCTCACAACTCTTGCAGAGAATGTGTTGACACCCTGAGACCACCCACATCACTAAGGCAATGACTCACCCTGGACCAAATTACCCTACCTGGACCAGCTCCTGAAGCTCACGTTTGACATCCTCTAGGCCGCCAATGTCTTCCCAGGTTACCTGTGGCACCTCTACCACGGTTTCCCGCAGTGCTGACGGGTTACTCTGGCTCAAAGCCCACTAGAAAAGAAGGGAAAACGGGATGAGACTTACCAGGGAAGGGTCAAAGCACGTATGTGTGTACCTGAGGTAGGGGTGTGGTCCTTACCCGGAAGTCATCCATAGTAACTGCTAGAGAGTTCATGACCTCGGCATCAATGGTCTCATCCTCTAGGTCAATGAGATCCATCTTCTTGCGGATGGCTTGCAGAGCAGCCTCTGAGCACAGGGCTGCTAAGTCAGCACCCACATGCCCATGAGTCTCATTGGCTACCTGCAGAGAAAGACCTACTTACTATGCTGCCTCCAGCTTCCACAGGAGGCTCAGAGACAATAGAAATCCTTCACCCGACTCCTATCCCTGGGTCCTCTCATTTCCTTGAATATGTACTAGCAATGTCTTTATTGACTGGGTTTTATGCACTCAATTCTGGACTTGGGGCCTAGAAATAAAGCTGCCCCAACAATTCTGATTTATTCTAAATGCAGAGTTAACTGAGAAACATGCCAACTCCAATTTCCTGGATTCAATCTCAGTTCACTTTCTTTCCCCTGTCCAGAAATCAAAACCCATCTCTTCACATCTTAACCTTATGTCCCAAGCCAGTTCCCAGCAACTGCCTAGAAACAGAGGTATTGTAATACCCAGTCAGCCCTCATCATCACTTTACCTGTTCCAGGTCCACATCATCTGCTAGCTTCATGTTCTTGGTATGGATCTGAAGAATTTCCAAGCGTCCTGTAGCATCAGGAATTCCAATATCTACCTCCCGGTCAAAACGACCTGTGGGACAGTACATGAACACAGACAGGGCTCATTTCTAGTCCAGAGGGAAGAGACAGGCCTAGCGGGACCAACCATCTCAGTTAGCATAGGATTGTCCTGACGTTAGCAGTGAAAGTCTCAAGCCCTGGGAAACCTTTCAGTTTCAGGAAAACCAGGTGGTTGGTCAGTCTAGACAGGATGCAGGATAAGGGAAAAAGACCCCTGGACCCAAGCACTGCAAAGGGCTTCAAGAGGATTAGGTGACTTAGATGAAGGAGAGAGGTGAGACATAAGCAAGGGCAGGATTGGATGTATCTGTAGTCCTTACCAAATCGCCGTAGAGCCGGGTCAATGCTGTTGGGTCTGTTGGTTGCTGCCATGACAATAACATGTGCTCTCTGCTTTAGACCATCCATGAGGGTCAACAACTGTGATACAATACGCCGCTCCACCTCGCCATGAGTCTGCCAGAACAGGATGTCTGGTCATAAGTGAAGTTAGAGCCTTTCAACCCCCCACTATCCCTTCAGATAAGCTCCTACTTTCTCTCTTTTGGGAGCGATGGCATCCAGCTCATCAATGAAAATGATGGCAGGAGCATTCTTCTCAGCCTCCTCAAAGGCTTTACGAAGGTTGCTCTCAGACTCACCAGCCAATTTGCTCATGATCTCAGGACCTGAAAGAATACAGAATGGAGGCAAAACCAAAATGATAGCCTTTCCTAATTCCTGAAAAAATCAGTTATCTTGCTTGTCTGGCCCAAAGACAGGTCCTGGTGAGAAGGTCGTAACCTCTGCCTACTTCTCAGATCCTCTACCAACCATTATCACAGGATAGCCACGAGGCCAGGCTACAAAGCAGCTCAGGGACTCAGTATACTCTTCTCACAGTTGAACCAGAAGTGTAAAGGTGACAGCAAATGCTCTGGGACCTATGGCTAGAGCAGGAGAGTTGGCACACCAGCTAGATCTCTACCAGCTAAATAGCATTCTCCAAGAGCCAGCAATCCAAGTTCATTTCCCCCAAAATCTCTCAAATCAATAAGCATTCACCCATTATCATTATAGCTTGCTCCCACTCTTCAGTCTGTCCACAATCCTCAAGGTGAACAGGACAGGGAGCACCAGTGTAAAGTATCTTCCCTTTATTCTTCATCTGTCTGTAACATACCCCAGCAAAAGAAATATGCTATAAAAGTTTAGGTGGGCATGAGTGCAAAAGGGATGGGTCCATGAGCTCTCTAGCTCATGAGTCCCAATTCAAAATTGGGTCTAGTTAGACATAAGATGAACCAAGTCTCTTACCATTGATCAAAAAGAAGAAAGCTCCAGTCTCATTTGCTACAGCTCGAGCAATCAGGGTCTTCCCTGTCCCAGGAGGTCCATAAAGCAGGATTCCTCTAGGAGGCTGAGGACCAATGCAGAGTGTGATTAGGTTCTCACCTTCTCCCAAACCCTAAAATGGCTTGACCAGGGCTCCAGAGAGGGCAAGAATCAGTCCTCAACCCTGACGATATTAAGAATGAGCCCTCAGCAGTAAATGCTAGGAAGACAGTTTACTTTAGCCACACTAGCATGGAAAATACTGCTACAAAGTGGGCAACATTTATGATTGCAACTTGCATAGGAGACTAAGGGCAGAGAAACTAGTCCAAATGAGTTTGAAGATACATAACTAGGGAAAGGCAAGAGGCCATTACACTAAGAGTTCAATTTCAGACAGACCAAGGGCCAAAGACTAGCTAAGCCATTTGAGAGAGCAGGGTCTATTTTCGTCATTGCCAGAGGATCACTTACTCTAGTAATCATACCTTCCAGAATTTATCACATTGGAATGATGTTCCTTACAATCACCAATCTTCTTCTTTGACACTACCCTTTCTATGGCCTCATTTACAAGCAGGACATTGAAACTGTCCAAATAGAAGATGAAATTATTTGTGTGACACATACTAAGGAAATGAGTAACTTCATTCTCAGTGTGTTCCATGATATATAAAAGATTGGGAAGCTACACTCTAGACCAATAAGTTCTCAAATGTTTTAGACTCAGAACCCTTTAAGACTCTGAAAATTTCCTTAACTTCCTTACTTCTACCAGGTGACACTGCTCTAAACAGGCTGGCAAACTATGGTGAGATTTGTTTTTACAGGGTCCACTGAGACAAGAACAGCTTTTACATTCTAAGAGCTGTAAAGAAAAAACCCATATATATGTGTGCGTGTGTGTTTCTGTACATATGCACCCAACAGAGAATTTAATTAGCTTGCTCTGTTCTAGACCATCGACTCTAATGAATTTAGAGCCTTCGGTGAATTAAAGGATTTATTATTTCCCCTCTAATCCAAGGAAATAACGAAAGCCAGTATGAAAAAGTCCCAGGATCAGACATTGGGTAGTCATTAATCACCACTTTAAACTGGATCCCAGAGCCCAGATGCTCACCTTCACACCAATTGCCTTAAAGAGGGCAGGATGTCTCAGGGGCAGTTCCACCATCTCCTTTATTTGAGCTAGCTGCTTCCTACAGCCACCAATATCATCATACCCTACTTCATTCAAGGACTCTTCCTCATCCTGAATAAGAAAGAAATAAAGAAAGCAGAAGGCAAGAATATAAAATCAGCAGAAGCTGAGTTTCTCTAAATCATTCCACTACCTAGTGTGCAAAAACCTACCATATAAGAAGATTCTCAACCCAGCAAGGTGGCTCACATGTGTAATCCCAGCACTTTGGGAGGCAGAAGTCGGAGGACTGCTTGAGTCCAGCAGTTCCTGGGCAACACAGTGAAACCCCCATCTCATTAAAAATTAAATTAAATTGCCAGGCGAGGTGGCTCATGCCTGTAATCCCAGCACTTTGGGAGGCCGAGGCGGGTGGATCATGAGGTCAAGAGATCGAGACCATCCTGGTCAACATGGTGAAACCCCATCTCTACTAAAAATACAAAAATTACAGGCCGGGCGCGGTGGCTCAAGCCTGTAATCCCAGCACTTTGGGAGGCCAAGGCGGGTGGATCACGAGGTCAAGAGATCGAGACCATCCTGGTCAACATGGTGAAACCCCGTCTCTACTAAAAATACAAAAAATTAGCTGGGCATGGTGGCGTGTGCCTGTAATCCCAGCTACTCAGGAGGCTGAGGCAGGAGAATTGCCTGAACCCAGGAGGCGGAGGTTGTGGTGAGCCGAGATCGTGCCATTGCACTCCAGCCTGGGTTAACAAGAGCGAAACTCCATCTCAAAAAAAAAAAACAAAAAAAAAATACAAAAATTAGCTGGGCATGGTGGCGCATGCCTGTAGTCCCAGCTACTTGGGAGACTGAGGCAGGAGAATTGCTTGAACCCAGGAGGCGGAGGCTGCAGTGAACTGAGATTGTGTCATTGCACTCCAGCCTGGTAACAAGAGCGAAACTCCATCTCAAAAAAAAAAAAAAAAAAAAAAAAAAAATTAGGCCGGGCGCGGTGGCTCAAGCCTGTAATCCCAGCACTTTGGGAGGCCGAGGCGGGTGGATCACAAGGTCGAGAGATCGAGACCAACCTGGTCAACATGGTGAAACCTCGTCTCTACTAAAAATACAAAAAATTAGCTGGGCATGGTGGCGCGTGCCTATAATCCCAGCTACTCAGGAGGCTGAGGCAGGAGAATTGCCTGACCCCAGGAGGCGGAGGTTGCGGTGAGCCGAGATCGCGCCATTGCACTCCAGCCTGGGTAACAAGAGCGAAAATCCGTCTCAAAAAAAAAAAAAAAAAAAAAAATTGGCAGCACTGGAGTCAAGATGGAGGAGTACGCACGAGAGCCTTGCCCATGGCAAACTGTGGATGACTGTGGTGATGCCTTTACGATGGGTACCACTGGTGGAGGTATCTTTCAAGCAATGAAAGGTTTTCCCAATTCTCCAGTGGGAGTAAATCACAGACTACGAGGGAGTTTGACAGCTAATAAAACCAGGGCTCTGCAGTTAGGAGGTAGCTTAGCAATTTGGGGAGGCCTGTTTTCCATGATTGACTGTAGGACGGTTCAAGTTAGAGGAAAGGAAGATCCCTGGAACTCCATCACAAGTGGTACCTTAACGGGAGCCATACTGGCAGCAAGAAATGGACCAGTGGCCATGGTTGGGTCAGCTGCAATGGGTGGCATTCTCCTAGCTTCAACTGAAGGAGCTGGTATCCTGTTGATAAGATTTGCCTCTGCACAGTTTCCCAATGGTCCTCAATTTGCGGAATACCCTTCCCAGTTGCCTTCAACTCAATTACCTTCCTCACCTTTTGGAGACTATCGACAATATCAGTAGGACTTCTTTCCTAGGATTTCTTTAACAGAATGAGTTGTAGTTTGAGGATAATTTCAGAAGATCAAGTTACAGTCCATTTTTAAAACCATGGGACAGCTATGGCCAACAGGCTATAAAGAGACATTCAGCACTTTTTTCTATTTAAAGGAACAAGGGGGAAGGGAGTGCTAAAAGATAATGCATTTAGTTATTTATTTTTTTATTTTATTTTATTTTTATTTTTTGAGACGGAGTTTCGCTCTTGTTACCCAGGCTGGAGTGCAATGGCCCGATCTCGGCTCACCGCAACCTCCGCCTCCTGGGCTCAGGCAATTCTCCTGCCTCAGCCTCCTGAGTAGCTGGGATTACAGGCACGCGCCACTATGCCCAGCTAATTTTTTGTATTTTTAGTAGAGACGGGGTTTCACCATGTTGACCAGGATGGTCTTGATCTCTTGACCTCGTGATCCACCCGCCTCGGCCTCCCAAAGGGCTGGGATTACAGGCTTGAGCCACCATGCCCGGCAATAATGCAGTTATTTATTCACACTTGAATTGCATTTGTGGTAAAGATAAATGTCTAAATCATTAAAGGAAAATACAATTAAGTGCTTGAAAGGTGAAGGACCAAAGCGCCAAAAAAAACAGTGAAATATGATTTCATCTCCTTGGGGTCTTCTCTGCCAGGTTTTGTGTGTTCTGTTATTCAAACAATAAAATGCTGGAACTTAAAAAAAACCTTAAATTAAAATAAAAAGAGAAGATTCTCCTCTACAGGTATCTGGCCTCAAAGAACAGCTATAAAATCCCAAGGCAAAGATTTCTAGCACAGTCCTTGCCTTTCACATTGCTCATAGTCTTACTGAGAAGGGGGTCTCTAAAATCTGTGGCTGGAAACTCTGTGAATGGACAGAGGCCTTCAGCCACCATCAATTATACTTCAAAATGATTTCAATCACTTACATACTTTGGGTTCAGTCTAGACTTTTGAAACCCCTGGAATTAGGTACATCCAAGAAACACCTAGACCCAGAAATGAGTATCTGGCAGATTTCTCATCCCTGAAAGATTCTTAGTTCCCCAAAAAGCACCCAGTCTGGTTTTTTTTTTTTTTTTTTGAGACGGAGTTTAGTTTGTTACCCAAGCTGGAGCGCAATGGCGTGATCTTGGCTCACCGCAACCTCCGCCTCCTGGGTTCAGGCAATTCTCCTGCCTCAGCCTCCTGAGTAGCTGGGATTACAGGCACGCGCCACCATGCCCAGCTAATGTTTTGTATTTTTAGTAGGTACGGGGTTTCACCATGTTGACCAGGATGGTATCGATCTCTTGACCTCGTGATCCACCCACCTCGGCCTCCCAAAGTGCTGGGATTACAGGCGTGAGCCACCACGCTCAGCTTTTTTTTTTTTTTTGGGAGACAATCTCACTCTGTCACCAAGGCTGGAGTGCAGTGGCACAGTCTCAGCTCACTGCAACCTCTGCCTCCTGGATTCAAGCAATTCTCCTGCCTCGGCCTCCTGAGTAGCTGGGATTACAGATGTGCGCCACTAGGCCCAGCTAATTTTTGTATTTTTAGTAGAGACAGGGTTTCACCATGTTGCCCAGGCTGGTCTCAAACACCTGACCTCAAGTGATCTGTTCCCCCGAGCCTCCCAAAGTACTAGGATTATAGGCGTAAGCCACCGCGGCCGGCCGAGCACCCAGTCTTGACAGTTACCACATGATACCACACTGAGTAATCACGAAATTGAATACTGTGATCAGGAAGAAAACTCACCTCTCGTTTGATAGGCTCCCCTTCGCAGTGGATCACTGTGTCTGGAGCAACAATACAGTAGGGGCTAGGATCTGTTTCCACCACTTTGAACTCCACAGCACGCATTCCACCGCGGACAAGAAAAATGTCTCCTTTGAGAGCAAGCAATACAAGCACAGTTAGAGGTGTCAGCTACGAGACAAAGTGAGAACTCATCAAGACACTGGGTCAAAATGCCAAGCTCATTAGATACTGTCCTTCATTAGATATTACCCTCTCTCCAATGCTACCCCAACTGTCTTAATAAGCAGTAGGCAAGAGGAGAAAGGTAAACTGTGAGGAGTCCCTCTGCCACTCAGGAGGTCAGTGCAGAAAACCTGACATGCCAGAAGACCATCAAGTTTTGACTTCTGCCATGTAAGTAGCCCAAGCTTTACTACAACCACCAATGCTAGAACTGTGCACTTTGGACCCTGACACAGTCAAAATGGACCACCTTCTCCTTCAAAGATCCATAAGAATAGCTTACTCTCCTGGAACAGAGAAGGGGAGAGATGGAGGGAGAGAAGGATAGAGGAAAAGAAGGGCGGAAGACCTATGAATCTGCGTGCATAATGCATGTGTGTATACAAATAAATAAAAATGAGACTAGGTATGATGGCTCATGCCTGTAATCACAGCACTTTGGGAGACCAGGCAGGTGGATCACTTGAGCCCAGCAGTTTGAGACCAGCCTGGGCATCATAGTGAGACCCCATCTCTTTCTTTCTTTTTTTGATACAGAGTCTCATTCTGTCACCCAGGCTGGAGTGCAGTGGCCTGATCTTGGCTCACTGCAACCTCCACTTCCTGGGTTCAAGCAATTCTCGTGCCTCAGCCTCCCAGGTACCTGGGATTACAGGCACCTACAATGGGGTTTTGCCATGTTGGCCAGGCTGGTCTCGAACTCCTGGCCTCAGGTGATCCACCTGCCTTGACCTCCCAAATTGCTGGGATTGTAGGCATGAGCCACGGTGCTGGGCTGACCCCATCTCTTAATAAATAAATAAATAAATAAATAAATACAAGGGAAAAGCATAAAAGATTAAAAAAAGAAGAAAAAAAAAAAGGAAATGAAGATGGTCCAAGCTGAGTTTCTCTAAATCATTCCACTACCCAGTGTGCAAAAACTCAACAATCAACAATCCTTAAGTTCAGAATTAGCTCTCACCTTTCCGGATGGGTCGATAGGCTTCCAGGAAGTACGGCTTAAGGTATACCTCAAAGAGATTACCAGTAATGCCTTCCACCGTGTCATCAATGGGCAGCACATGGATACGTTTACCATACTTCACATCAGGGCATGGCTGGATGCTGAGGATGACAAGCAGACTCCATATTACCAACCACACTTGGGGCCCAAGCACTGGGTGTCCAAAAGGGCCTGGCACAGATAGCTGATAGTAAGTGAAAAAGAAAAGGCAGGGATGGCTTTAGGTGAAGAGCAGAAGGAGAACAGGGTGGAAGTGAGGGCAAAAGAACAGCCCCACTCACTCCTAATCAGTGAGCCAAAATCAAGAGCCACACACTTAGAAACCCCACAAAGATATGCACAGTCTTCAGTGAGATATCCAAGGATAATCCCCTTCCAGCTAATATTGATGACCCAATATCACAAAAGAAGATCTTAAGCTAATAATTGTCAGGGTCAGAGAAACAGAAGTGAAAAAAATAAAATTATCTCAGCCAGGTGGTCAGAACACCTTGAGAAAGTGACTGAGCACTGTAAGGAAGAAAGTTACATGAAACTTAGACTCCATTAAAAAGAATCAGAAGCCTAAGATGATCCTGGCCATGTGATGGTTGCCTGGGTAGGAGTGGCTAGAGATGACTCCAAGTTGGGGTAACTTCTTGCTTAAAATTATGCAAGAATAAGCAAAATCACTCACGTTGGGACTATCCTGGGTCTGGCTTCAACTATTCCTCTCTCCCAGGTTAATTTAGGTGCTTAAAAGGTCTGCTACCAGCTCACCTTCCACGCCCATATCCCCACCTCATTCCAATCCCAATCCATTAATTGGACATACTAGTGAGGGTAGTAAGGAGGTCATTTAGCAGATACATACCCTCAAGTGGCAACCTAAACCAAGTAAGTATGACAAACTACATCTCTGGTAGGAAAAAATAGTGCATCAGGAAAGTTACAGGAATGCCAATTTGTCTCAAGGGACAGGCAGAGAAAATTTGCAAGTCCCAGGAAGGCAGAACCAAAACCTAAAGACAACCCTAAAGCGTTAAGTCTTCCCATGGCCAGGAGGCTTCCTGTATCTACAGGTACCAAGAACTTGGTCCTGCCTGTGTGATACATGGGTCCTGCCTATAATGCAGGCTATCTCTGGTCTCCCGTCCCTGCGGAGCCAAAAACCCCACACACACCTGATGACATCTCCTAGGCGTACACGAAGGTTATTCCGAACAACTCTATTCATTCGAATCTTCTCATCAGAACACGTGTCATCAGAAAGGACGATGCAAACAGCTTCTCGTCTCTTCTTTCCTTTCAGCAACACTGTGTCACCTCGGAACAACTGCAACTCATCCATCTTGGGCTGAGGAAAGAAGGTTAAGGCCTTTGGGTCACTGGGCAGAAGGGAGTAAGCAGCAGCCCTGGAGATTGGGATTCCCAGTAAACCCCACTCTATCTGCAGTCACTGCAAGAAAAATGAGAAAAGAAACCTGGGAAAATCCCTCAAGTAAGTCCAATAAGGAAAGACTAGTCTGTGGCCCCAACTTACCTGGGACAAGGACACCACACTATTGTCCTCATTGATGGCTTCATCAACAATTAACCGATTGGGACGGTTCTTCTGTTTGAGAATGGCTGTTGATAAGTCATCACCTTTTGAACTAGAAGGAGAAAATTGAGTCAGTCCCAATAGATACTCCAGCCAAGAGCCTCACCAGGCTCTAAAACTCAAGAAACAAATAGTGACTAGATGAAGCTGTCCCTAAACCAGAGAGCTCAGATGAAGGAAAGGCAGCCAAAGTCACAAGGAACAATATCTAGCATACACATTAGAATATCCGTTCCAGTAGCTCCTGGTATTTTGAGGATCAGTGTCCCAGCTATAAGGCCCCAAGTGAGTGATCCTGCCCCAGGATCAGAAAACAACAGCCTAAGAAAAAGACATAATAGAAATGGAAGCTAAATAGTTATTAGAGAAATAAAAGCAGTCTTACAGAAGAGTGGTTAAGAGCAGGAACTCTATAGTCAGATCCATTGCGTCTAAATTCCAATTCTGCTACTGCTTGTGATCTTGGGCAAGTTACCTAACCTCTAAACTTTGATGTCCTCTCCTACAAAATAGGGCGTATAATACTTATGTCAGAGGCTTATTGTCTTAAGGGAGATAATGAATGTAAAATGCTTAATACCTGGCACACGGTATTAATGGTCACCGTGATTAACAGTATAAAGTGGGCCGGGCGTGGTGGTTCACACCTGTAATCCAAGCACTTAGGAGGCCAAGGCGGGCAGATCACCTGAGGTCGGGAGTTCAAGACCAGCCTGACCAACATGGGGAAACCCAGTCTTCAAAAAAAAAAAAAAAAGAAACCCCACAGTATAAAGCAGAAGCTAACTTTCCAGGGGAATGAAGTAAGCCAGACAACTTCCCCTGAGATGGCCTCAAGTCCCACCAAGCAAGTCTGCGGACAATGAAGCAAAAATCATTAGTGCTACCCTTACAGGCTAAGCCCACTGATGCTAGGCATTCCATGGTACCAAAAGAATGCCAAGCATAAAGACCATCATATTTGGAAAAAACACTAACAGATATGAAACCACTAGAAAGAGGCTCAAGGTCAAAAGAAATTACACAGTAATTTCTGCAAAGGCACAATTCCACAGAGTTGGCTCAAAAAATAAAAACAAAGAAATGCTGAGACTTGGGGCAAATCCAAATCCCTCTCATCCAAATCAAGGTCAACTGGGTCTACACTCATTTTGTTATTTCCTAGAATCTAGGATCATTCAACAAGCAGTGGCACCAACTTATTACCTAGCCCATCTCCAGTCATCACTTACTGGACTTAGTGATCTTTTTTTTTTTTTTTTTTGAGATGGAGGCTGGAGTACAAAGGCACGGCTCACTGCAACTTCTGCCACCCGAGTTCAGGTGATTCTCCTGCCTTCCCAGTAACTAGGATTACAGGCATGTGCCACCACACCTGGCTAATTTTGTATTTTTACTAGAGGCGGGGTTTCACCATGTTGGTCAAGCTGGTCTCCCAACTCCTGACCTCAGGTGATCCGCCTGCCTTGGCCTCCCAAAGTGTTGGGCTTTCTCTCTTTTAAGAGCTGCCTTCTGTTAGCAAGGCTGAGGAAAACATAAACATTAACCAAAATAGGAAAGCCAGACAATGAAGGAAGCAAAACAACTACACTTTTAAAAAGAATTTTCTTCATTCAACTAAGTAATGAGGGTCTATTACGTCCCAGGCATTGTCCTAGGGGCTGGGGATACTGCAGTCAAAACAATAGTATTCCTATTGGAAATATTCTCACAATTTCCAAGAGACAGGGAAAAAATGCTGTGCTCAGCTAGGCAGCCATGCAGTTCTTACATCTTTGGATCCTGATATACCCAAAAGAAATACAAACCCCATTCATCTAACAAAATGGTAGGCCTTCTGCTAACCCTCACACATAGGCTGTATTTTAAACTACTGCCTCCAAACTAGTTTCTAATGACAGTTTCCTCTGCTCAAATTTGCCTCCCCCATCCCAAAAGTGTGTCACTCTAGGCACAGTGCTGCTGAATAGGCAGACTCTTCCAATGCTTATGAACATACTGGAGGTCAAGCATGGTCAATATGACAGCTGAGAGCAATTTAAACCCATGCGTTCTCCCTCTCCTGTCCCATCAAAATACTCTTTCAGGGGCTGCCAGTCTTCTTGCTTTACCAATAGGACTGAGACTGTAGAAAAACAAAATGATAATTTTTTATTTTTTGAAATGGAGTCTTGCTCTGTTGCCCAGGCTAGAGTGCAGTGGTGCGATCTCCCTCAATGCAACCTTCACCTCCTGGTTCAAGCAATTCTCCTGCCTCAGCCTCCACAATGGCTGGGACTACAGGCGTGCACCACCACCAAGCCTGGCTAATTTTTGCATTTTCAAAGAGATGGGGTTTCTCCATGTTGCCCAGGATAGTCCTAAACTTCTGACCTCAAGTAATCTGCCTGCCTCGGCCTCCCAAAATGCCAACAGTTTGTATTTTAATCTGAAAGCTGCATCCTAGGAAAACCTGCATTCTGCCTACCATCCCGGACTCTGGCTCTGGAGATGAGTAGTGCCCTTTTCTTAAGACAAAGCCTCTGATTCCCGATCTATCAACTGAGATCAGAGGTGGCAATCTCCAAAAGAGTGAATTTGGCCTAACCATGGGCCAACAGCAGTTCTGGACGCTCTTTGGGGCCATCCTCCATTGTCTTCTGTATGAGTCAATCCCTTTCCAGAACTGCACAGGGGACTCCACATGGGACTTGGAGGGGGTTCAGCTAAGAGTCATCAAGGTGACCAAGAGGTTAGGAATAGCTGATGATTCCAGGTTCCAAGAGTTTTAGATTTTTGCTTTTGAAAATAAAAGCTTGACTGCATGTAAACCAAAAGAATATTTTCATAATAAGTGACTCTTTTAAATAGGCAACTGAGCAATACTTTATCCCAGTTCAGAAACTTGAGAAAAAGGAACACACCTCAAAAAACTAATCTCTTCAAAGAAGGAAGGTAATTTGCATAGAACGGGTTCCATGGGCTGGCTGTGTGGGTTTTTTTTTTCAGTATTTAAAAGCTAAATTGAATAGGCTGACGGGGCAAGTTTTATCTGACGCTTTCCTGAGGAATGGAAGTGGGGTCAGAAAGCCTCAGGGCCCGGATAATTTCTCAATATAGCTGGCTGGGGAAAGGGGTGCGTGCATGTTTGTGTTTTTGAAGAGTTAGTGCAACTCTAAACTGCACACCACGAAAGCTAGAAATCTGGGAGGGCCCACAAAACACGAACTGAGATTGGAACTTTAGCAAAAACCTAAAATACTTTTTAAAAATTCCTTTCTCCCCACCCAAGAGTCATAATATGAAGGAAAAATCGCTCAAACTTTCTAGTATGAACAACAGATCTAAAGAAAGAAGAAAACCAGAAGCCAAAGGTAGGGCTCTCCCTCTTCCTAACAGTCCCTCACTACTCAGATCACAGACTGCCCACCTCGGGCCCCGCCGACCAGGCTCCAAAAAGGCGGCTGTGAGCTTTCCTGAGCTCGCCGGGCCTTCCCCGACCCCGGCCTCCGCCTCGGTGGCAAGGCTCCTGAGGCCTTCACATGGCGCAAAGTCCACGCCCACCGGGCCCGGTAGGGGCCTCGGGCTCGCGGGGCCTGCTCTCTTCAGGGATCAAGGCCTTCGGCGGGTGGTAGGCCGGGTCGCAGACGGGCTCTCCAAGGCCCCAGGGCTCCGCGCCGGTGGTGTGGGCCGGAAGACCTCGCCAGGCCCGGACGGCCGTTCCAAGGGAGCCAATCGAGCGGGCCGGGGCCTGCATGACACAGCACGATCCGGCCCAGGCTCCGACCCGCGCCCAACGCAAGCCCCGCCTAGGGGGCGCGCGGGTGCGCAGCTGGCCCCAGCCGGGCCTGCCGGGTCCTACGACCCCTTACTCGCTCCCTTGCTCCCCTTCCCTCCTTCCTGGTCTCCACCTCCCTGACGCGCCCATTGCCAGGCCCCGCCGGGCCTACCCAGGGCGGCCGGTCCCGATGCGCGCTGCCGCAGCGAGCGGACGGCGCGCGCTCACTCACTCGGCTCCAGAAGCCATGGCGCGCGCCTCTCCCGGCCGGCGGCTGTGGCGGCCCGCGGGTAACGGCTACGAGGGGTGGCAAGCGACTGACTGAGCCGGGGCTCGGCTCTCCCAGGCGGTGGGCGAGCAGCGGCGACAAACCCGCAAGCGGCTTCCCTCTCGCTTCCTCCCACCGGCAGCTAGGCGTAGGGCGAACAACGCTGGCTCCTGATCCGCGAGGTGGCAGTGGCAGCAGCAGCTACGACTCAAACGACGGCCGCAGACGCTTCGCTGAGACTGAGCCGAGAAGAGCCGAATCATCGGAAGGGAAGCTGTTCCCACCTCAGCCAATCACCGCCTGCCCTGCGGACCCTCGCCCGCCTCTCCGCGCCTCTCCCCAGCAACTCGCAGACCACAGCCAATCAGGAAATTCGTTTGCGGCCTGGCTCCCGCCTCAGTGATGCGACACGCCTAGTAACGCCACGTCAATTGGCCACAACGCTACGCTTCCTCGACGGATTGGGATCCTTAGCCAATCAACGAAAGGAAAAAGGCGAGATCGACTAGCGAAAGGAGAGCCTTTACTCCCTTAGAGGCGGACTCTCCCACTTGGCTCCAGTTCATTGGCTCCGGAGTTTTTCCTCCTAGAATAACCTGGCACAATGGACTGAAGACTTGTATTAGTCTAGTCCTGTTGTGGTAACTTACACACCCTTTTTCTCCCAAAACCTGGGGATCCTCTAGGACGCCATCACCACCCTGACCTTTCTTCTTGCTCCCCCTCAACGCTGCCTCCAACCACCCCTACTCTGAACTTTCTGACTAGCACCCCATTCCTGCCCCATTGTCATTGCACTCTGTAGTAACCCTAATCCCACAGACTTTGCAGTTTCTTAGCACTTGTGCCTTCCTTCCTCCCGTCATTAATATTAATACCTTATAATAAGGCACTCAAATCCAGAGAAGTCAAAGGGCAACCACAGAACACAGCCAATTCAGTAGAACCCAAATTACCAAGAAAACAGCATATGCTGGGAGTTGAAATCCTTGGGCCCAAAGTAACAAGGGTCGCTGGTTGTAGTCAACAGGCAGCTGTTGGTGGTATGCTGACTCAATTCACCTGTCACCCTCTACCCAGACACATTTGACTAAGACAAGTCCAATTTCTAGAATTTAGAATTAGGAGGGGAGTGAAGAGACACTCGGACAGACTCAGATATCTGCCTGTCTCTAATTACCAGGTACCCACCCTTGTCCTGAAAGGCCTATCTAGACCACCCTTCAGACCCAACTCCACTCAGTCACTGTCCTGGGCTTTGGGGCTCTGCATTTAGGCAATGTGAAGGACTAAAACCACCACCTCCTGAGTAAGGTTTCTTGTAGCCCTTTCCTCATACCCAGATCTCACGTATGGTGAGGTTGATGATGTCAGGAAAGGGCATCATAGACAACTAACACTGAACTAGACAGCCTTCCCACCCAACTATATGTAGTAGGCAGACAAGAGATAAATATGAAATTTTACTTGACAAAAGAAAAGGGGAAACAGGAAAAAAAGGTGCCTCGAGCAAAGTCAGTAACTTGGTGGTGGCAGAGATCATTTCCTCCAAAACCAGAATGGTTATAAGTAGGGCAAATGTCACAGGCCCACCGCCAACCTCACCAGTCCAGGATTCCTAATGATGGCGCAACAGAAAGCCCTCCCCACACAGAGGCAGCCCACGGGGGCCCCAGTTCAAGCTCTTGGAAACGTGGCAGCTACAGGTCACAAGACTCCAGCAGTGATGTCTGAAACTCTTCAAGGAGGGCTTCACGATCAGATGGACGGATCCAGCTCAAATAGCTTTCTAGGTACAGGGGGAGAGACCTGGAGAGCAAGAAGGATGATGCCTAAGGATGAAAGATTGGCAGAAAGCTGGGGAGCCATGCCCTCTCTTTCAGTGTTTTACCACCCACAATAGGTCCAAGGACTCTAGGACACCAACTGCCCCTCAGCCCCAAGCCAGCAGGCCTGAGCCTCACCATATAGCACCTTCCTGTGGCCCCTTAGTTTGGGCCTCCAGCCTCCGCCAGAGTGCAGTGGCCTCATCCCTCCGATCCAGCCTCCTCAGAGTCTGAAGCAGGTGAAAGTAAGTGTCTCGATTACCTGTAGTCCCAGCCCAGAATACAGAGTCTTAGAACTTGACATAGTCTTAGCCATTGTTTTGTAAAAAGGGAAACAGAGGCCTAAAGAGGGGAATTATGTTGCCTACACTCACATATGGAAGCAGGGGCAGATTATTCACAACCATTCCTATCCCAGTGTCCACCACCTGCCCAGTACTCCTGTGCAACCCACCCCAGCAGTTATGGTCTTTGTGTCTGAGGATATTAGGGAGACCAGGAAACTCCTGGAAGCCCTGCATACATACTTGAATATGTTTGAAATCTAGATATATCCCCAGATATATACAGCACAACTCCAGTAACCCCTCCTGTCTGAGAACATCACCCTTACATTTACGACCAAGTATCTTTCCCATGGACCTCTCTGTCCTTGCATATCTATCCATAGCTGATGTCATGCAAATATACATACCTGGGCACATCTGCACAGCAAGGAGGAAGTCCTGTAAGGCTTTGGTATCCTGGCCACTGGCTACCCATTCCAGTCCACGACTAATTAGGGCGGCTGCCCGAAGCTGCTGCAGTGCCATATCTGACTTACATTCCTGTTCACAGTTGGAAGCTGCCCCTGGGGACCATTCCCAAAGTCAAGAAGTGTCTTCCTAGCCTCACAGTCATCAAAACCCCAAATCCTCCTCTATTTCTTCTTGTGTCCACAGTCCCTTTCTCCTAAGTCTCCTGATGGGTTGGGACACATGAAGGGAACCCACTTCTACCACTACTACTTCCAGGAGGTAAGAGAAAAATTAAAAGTCTAGATCACCTTGTACTTTGTCCTCAGGTATGGCCCGAAAGAGCAGCTCAAGGCACCTGAAGCAGCACATGGAACAGGGGTGAAGAGGAATCAACTTCAGTAATTCTAGGGTAAGTAGGTGAACATGGAGCTCACCAATTCAGGTCCCTATCAGAAAATCATCCATCCACACCCCCTCTAGGACCCTAGGCTCACCGGCTAAATTCACTGACTGCCATTTTTTGGGCACCCAGTTGTACCCAGGCCTGGCCCTGAAGAAGGTGGGTGGCAGAGACCCAGAGTGGGCAGTATGGCAGTTCCTTAGTTCCTTTTCTGGCATCTTCCCATAGCCGGAACATCTTGGGTAGCAGAGATGATGTGTGGCTAAGCAACTCCTCACATAGAGTCAAGGCATCTTGGGCTCGGCCTGCCTGGATCAGTGCTACTGCTGCCTCCAAAAACAACTCAGGCATACAGGGCCCTGGGTGGGAGCGGGGCAGGGAGAACTGGAGTGGGAAGAAGAGGCAGTGTCTTGAAAGGCATGAGCCACCATCCCCAACCTCTTCACCAGGCTCTGGTACCATGCAGAGTGCAGAGTCCTGGGCCCCCAGATTGTACAGACAAAATAGAGGGAAAAACAAAAAATAGCAGTCTTGCTCTATTCCAAAGTAGACACCAACCCTTCCACTCCATTGCAGAGAAGTTTGAAGATATACCCACCCTTGGCTCCGAGCTATCCAGCAACAGGGCCAGCAGGTCCAAGTAATGCTCTGCAGCGTCTTCTACCCTGAGGAGTCACAGCCCATAAGCCTCACCCTAGGCCCTAAGCAGGGCCCTGCAAGGTCCTGAGAATGTTCTCTCTTAGCTAACAGAGGGATGCTTATAGGCCCTGAGGAGTAGAGGGGGAGGGAACATCTTAGGGCTCCAATTCTAGCTCAGTATGAATCTATCCCAGTTACAGATGGATTGGGGAGGAGACTTCAGAGTGTCAAAGATAGAGGAGGTTAGTGTCTTAGTGAAGAGTCCTTAGTTCAGGTCTAGAAGCATGGTAGGAGAGGCTGAGGAGTGGTGGTTGACCTATGTCCTGCCACTGCCTTACTCATCCTCCAAGTCATGAGAACAAAAACAGTCACACCCCAGGGGAGACATCAGAAGCGGGAAGAGGAGCTCAGGTGAGCAAGGGGAACCTCACCTCCCTGTCTGTAGGCACCTGCTTGCTAGTACGTGCTTGGCCTGGCTCTGAGTGCCACAGTGAAGGGGTGAGGCTGGGTCAGGTGGTGGCAGTAGTAATTCTACCTCAATGAGAAACTGTGGGGCTTTGGAATTGCAGGGGACATTCAAGGCCTAAAAGAGAAAGAAAAATCTATAATCTCTGGGAGCCATACTTCCTTTTTTTCTTTATTTTTTTTTTGAGACGGAGTTTGGCTCTTGTTACCCAGGCTGGAGTGCAATGGCGCGATCTCGGCTCACGCAACCTCCGCCTCCTGGGTTCAAGCAATTCTCCTGCCTCAGCCTCCTGAGTAGCTGGGATTACAGGCACGTACCACCATGCCCAGCTAATTTTTTGTATCTTTAGTAGAGACAAGGTTTCACCATGTTGACCAGGATGGTCTCGATCTCTTGACCTCGTGATCCACCCACCTCAGCCTCCCAAAGTGCTGGGAGTACAGGCTTGAGCCACCGTGCCCGGCCCATACTTCCTTATACTTAGATCTTGACTAGTCAGTCATCCCAACACAAGCACCTCAGCAATCCTCCACCCCACATCTTCACCTGGCAGTTTCCTACCTCAACTAGCAGCTCCAGACTCTCCAGCTCTGCTGTTGTGTCCCCCAGTTGCTGATAGAGCCTAGAGGCCTCCAGAAGTGGGGGACCCCAGGCTGATCCCTCTTTCAAAGCTGCAACCAAGTACAACAGCGCTCTCTGTGGATTTCCCTAGGGGGATAGGAGGACACAGGCCTCAGCTACTCTTACAAAGCAAAAAGCTATGCATAATGCCTGCGGTTTCCCCCAATCTACCCTAGGACTGTCTTTACCATTTTACGGTGACAGGACCCCAGTGCTGTGTACACCTGGACCAACAAAGGCCGTGGACACAGACCTGAGGCCACTTCATGAAGGCTGCTTAGGGCCCTGTCCAGGTTCCCTGTGATCAGCTCCTGGAGACCTGAGGACAATCAGGGCATGAGCTTGGAGAGGCCTACAGAGTAGGGGTCATTTTGGGGAACAAGGGTCCAAGAAGCCTATGGAACTGAATGGGACAAGAGAGAGGGCATGAGTCCAGAGGACCATTTAAAGGAGAAAGAGATGAGTCAGATTGCTAGCTGACCTTGGCGGTAGGCAAATGCTGTCAGGAGGACATCCTTCAATCCCTGGGCATCCTGCAGGGTCAATGGAGCATCTAATTCCTCAGCTGGGAGACTCCAAGTTTTCAGAAGTAACAGCAGATCCTCAGAGGCTCCACTCTGGCAAAAGAAAGACAACCAGAAGCTCCAAGCCTACAATCTTCCCATCTTCTCCTATCTCAGTCTATACTGGCTAGACCTTGAGCTCAAGGGTCCTCTTGATCCTCGAGGATACAGGCCTAGCTACCCTTACAAAGCATATAATGCCTGTGGTTTTCCCCAATTCTAAGAGATAGATAGCTATGGGGCAAGGATAAAAAAAGGAAAAAAACCTGGGGCAGTAATGATCTATTCTAGCAAGCCTCCTCACTCAAGGCAAGGACCACATTTGAGTTACCAACAACTCAAGGTAAGAGGTGACTGGCCTTGAGACTAAGGCTGAGAGATGACTTCAGCAAGATCACAAGAGCCCTATCCCTAACTAAAAGAAAAAAAAAATTTTTTGAGACAGGGTCTCTCCCCGTCACCTAGGTTAGAGGGCTAGAGTGCAGTGGCGTGATCACAGCTCACAGCTCACTGTTGCCTCCACCTCTTGGGCTCAAGTAATCCTCCAGACTCAGCCTCCCAAAGTGTTGGGATCACAGGTATGAGCCACCATGACTCTCCCATTAAGCTATTTTTTGCTGTTTTTTGTTTTTGAGACAGAGTCTTGCTTTGTTGCCAGTCAACAAGCTGGAGTGCAGTGGCGTGATCTCGGCTCATTGCAACCTCTGCCCCCTGGGTTCAAGCAATTCTCCTGCCTCAGCCTCCCGGGTAGCTGGGACTACAGGCACATGCCACCACACCCAGCTAACTTTTTTTTGTATTTTTAGTAGAGACGGGGTTTCACCATGTTGGCCAGGATGGTCTCGATCTCTTGACCTCGTGATCCACCCTGCCTTGGCCTCCCAAAGTGCTGGGATTACAGGCTTGAGGACTGTGACTGGCCCATTAAGCTATTTCTAAAAAACACTCCTGGCAGGGTGCGGTGGCTCACACCTATAATCCCAGCACTTTGGGAGGTTGAGGCAGGTGGATCGCGAGGTCAGGAGTTCAAGACCAGCCTGGCCAATGTGGTGAAACCCTGTCTCTACTAAAAATACAAAAATTAGCTGGGTGTGGTGGCTCATGCCTGTAATCCCAGCTACTCGGGGGGCTGAGGCAGGAGAATCGCTTGAACCCAGGAGGCAGAGGTTGCAGAGTCGAGATCGTGCCATTGCACTCCAGCCTGGGCAAAATTCTGTCTCAAAAAAAAAAAAAAAAAAAACAACACTCCTAAGAGAATCCCCACAATGAGAGACCAACTAGGGTAAGGTCACCCAAGAGTCCTAGAGAGAACTCAGATTTTCTGATCACCAACCCAGCTGCCTGTCCAGCACATGATGATGCTACTGCAGATGGAGAGAACAGAGGAAGAAGGAGGGAGGAGACCCTCAGCTTCAGGTCACTTTCCCTATTACCTGGCTGCCATTCAGGGTCTCCAGCAACAAGGCCAGGTCCCCAAGACGGTCAGTGCTCAACCAGAGGGCAGCCTGCAGGCCAGCCAGGCGGTGCAGGGCAGGCAGCAGCTCCGGCAGAAGGGAGGAAGTATGAAGAACAGAGTCCCACAGCTCCTTGAGCCCCTGTTCCAACCTGGGCCCCAGCTGCTCCTGTGTCTCCAGCACTGTAGAGTATACACACACACATAGACAGACACACACATAGCTAAGGTAGGAGCCCATCCTCTATCTCTGCATACACTCTGGCTTTCTTCTCCTGCAGGACTCCAAAGGTCACAATAATAATACCTCAACCTGGTCTGAGGAGCACAGAGAAGGGAACCTCTCTCCATGGAGGTGACAGAGTTTCTTGATCCTCCCATCCCCCTGCAATAACGTAAATCCAGACTGAAGCTGGTAGGGAAGTCGGGGACAATCTCTGGCCCTCACCTCTCTCTAGGCCCCGTTGGATAACCTGGGCCTGATCCTCTGTAAAACCCTGGGCCAAGCTTGCCCTCAGGATAATGAAGTTGCAGGTGACAGTCAGCTCCAAGTGGAGAACAGGAACAGCTGCAGGGAGCCCTGGAGCAACAATGTTGGTCTTACAGAATACTCCCCCATGGAAGATCCTCCAAATAAGATCCCAACCCAGGGATCACCACCCTCCAACCAAAATGGCCACAATAAAGAACCTACCCTCCAGCCGATTAGCTAAGGATTAAAAAAAAAGAACCCACCCTTTGGACAGAAAGTCTGGAAAGGGCAAAAAAGTTCTCCAAATCAAACCACCTTGGAAACCACTTTTCAAATGCCACTCTGCATGTGTAAGAAGAGAAGGATTTGCCTGTACAAATATGATTTCACTCCAGTGCCCTCTGTGCCTTAAACAAGACTCCCCGCTCCCTCAGTAATGATGTCGATCCCAGAAATGCAGAAGCGGAATGAGTCTCTGGCTGTGGTTAGGAGGGGAACTGATCATCCTGGGGAAGACCCGCTTACCTTGCAGACTATGGAGGAGCCCTCCGAGCCCTTCCAGTGCATCTTGAGCCAACTGCTGTCGCCTCAGAGTCAGACTGGAGTTCTGAGCCACCTACCACATGGGGGAGGGGGTGTCACTGAGGATCAGTCCTTTTTTTCTCTCCTTGCATCAGTGGCAAGGGGTGCATTCTCCAGTCGTTTCTGGCTCTTTGGTCAAGCTCAGCTCCTCCCCATCGGTTGGGGTAAATCCACTGAAAACCCGCTTTCAGGGATCTTGGGACTGCAAATCTTGTCCCAGCAACCTTGTTACCTTGGCCTGTCGAACGAGCCGGTCGTTCTTTTCCCTCCACATATCCAGGCAGCTGGAGCCCAGAGGAGTGGTTTGGCAGAACATGGTGACTGAGGCTGAGCCCGGACACCTGAAGCGGACTTCGGAAGGGTGAAGCTGGCTCGCCCAAGCTCCTAACCCCGGGGGACGGGGCCTGGACACTTCCGCACCCCGCCGAGCTCCGGGGCTTCCCTCGGGGTCCGAATCCACACGCCCTGGCTTTTCAGGACAAATGGGACGCCCTCTCCCCGCGGCCCGCGGCCCGCTCTCCTCTCCCCGCGGCCGGCTCTCCTCTCCCAGCGGCCCGCTCTCCTCTCCCCGCGGCCCGCCCCTGCTCTCAACCTCGCCTCTGGTTGGCCGGGCCTGCGAAGCTCTGGGCTGCGGTTGGTCCTCTTCAAGAGTTAGTTCCCGCGGGAAACTCGGGGAGGAAACCAGTTAGGACCTCCCGACAGGTAGGCTGAGGAGTCCGAGTCTGAGCGGGGCAGTCCCGCGGCCGGCGGTGCGGCCCGCTTCGCCCTCGCAGAGGCCACAGCCTGGAGAAAGGGTGGGCAGGAGCAAGTCTCCGTACTACTGTCCGTAGCTCGGCCCTTCCTCGCAAACACACTCCCAGGTCCGTCTGGGTTCCCACTTGCACCGAGGGCTTGCCGCGAAGTGCATGCTGGGAGTCGTAGTACCGCCCTGGCGAGGAACAGCCCCGCCCGGGCAGACGGAGTCTCCAGAAAGCGCTGACTGGAGTATAGCGCGGTCCGTAATCGTCCATCCTTTCTCTGCTCACTATCGAGCGGCTTGCTCACCATGGTCGGCTCTCTACCGCGTGTAGTCTGACTGCTGACAGCGCCGCTCTGTGCTTGTGCAGCCTGCACTGCCCAAAGGTACCTGCCCAATCCTTTCTATTTAAATGGAGTTAGAATTGAATATCCATGTGAAAAAAAAAAAAAAAAAAGACTGGAAGGAATGCGACCCTACATACGTAAAATCAACTCGATGGATCCCAAACTATAAGAGCCAAAAACATAAAACTTCTCAAAGAAAACGAAAAAGAACATCTTTATGACCTTAGGTTTGGCAACGAGTTCTTAGACACAGCACTAAAAGCTTGAACAATTAAAAAAAAAAGTTGGCAGGTGCGGTGGCTCACGCCTGTAATCCCAGCACTTGGGGAGGCTGAGGCGGGCGGATCTCCTGAGGTCTGGAGTTCGAGACCAGCCTGACCAACATGCAGAAACCCCGTCTCCACTGAAAATACAAAATTAGCCGGGCATGGTGGTGTGTGCCTGTAATCCCAGCTACTTGGAAGGTTGAGGCAGGAGAATCACATGAACCCGGGAAATGGAGATTGTGGTGAGCAGAGATCACTCCATTGCACTCCAGCCTGGGCAACAAGAGTGAAACTGTCTCAAAAAATAACTTTATTAAAATTTAAAACTCTTCTACTACAAAGACATCATTAAGAAAAATCATAGGCTGGATGTGGCTCATGCTGTAATTCCAGCACTTTGGGAGGCTGAGGCTGGAGGATTCCTTGAAGCCAGGAGTTCAAGACCAGCCTAGACAACAAAGATGGTGTTTGTAGAGACATTTCTCTCTATAAAATATTTAAAACATTAGCCCTGGCATAGTAGCACACCTGCAGACCCAGCTACTTGGGAGGCTGAGGTGGGAGAAGCCCTTGAGCCTGGGAGTTTCGGGTTGTAGTGAGCCATGATCACGCCATTGCACTCTAGCCTGAGTAACAGAGTGAGACCCTGTCTCAAAAAAAGAAATGAAAGGTCACAGTCACAAAGTGGAAGAAACTACTTGCTACCTCGTAAGGGACTGGTATCTTTCACACATTAAACTCAAGAAAAAGATTTTTAAAACAATTTTAGCTGGCCGTGGTGGTTCACATCTGTTATCCCAGCACTTTGGGAGGCTGAGGTGGGAGGACCATTTGAGCCTCAAATTCATAACCAGCCTGGGCAACATAGGAAAACCTCATCTTTACAAAAAAATTAGCTGGGCAAAAATAAAAGAAAATAAAGGAAAAAAAATTAGCTGGGCATGGTGGCAAACGCCTGTATTCCCAGCTATTCTGGAGACTGAGGTTGTAGGATCACCTGAGCCTAGGGAGGTTGAAGCTGCAGTGAGCCATGATCGTGCCACTGCACTCCACCCTGGGCAAAAGGGTAAGACCCTGTCTCAAAACAAAACAAAACAAAACAAAACAAAACAGTCTTAAGCTGGACAAATAAAAAGAAAACAGACATTTTACCAAAAAAGATATACTAATGGCTAAGAAACAAAAAGATGCTCAGCATTATTAGCTATTAGAGAAATGCAATTAAAAACATGCCAGGGGCCGGGCGTGGTGGCTCAAGCCTGTAATCCCAGCACTTTGGGAGGCCGAGGCGGATGGATCATGAGGTCAAAAGATCGAGACCATCCTGGTCAACACGGTGAAACCCCGTCTCTACTAAAAATACAAAAAAACTAGCTGGGCGTGGTGGTGCATGCCTGTAATCCCAGCTACTTAGGAGGCTGAGGCAGGAGAATTGCCTGAGCCCAGGAGGCGGAGGTTGCGGTGAGCCGAGATCGCGCCATTGCACTCCAGCCTGGGTAACAAGAGCGAAACTCCGTCTCAAAAAAAAAAAAAAAAAAAAAAAAAAAAAAAAAAAAAAAAAAAAAAAAAAAATACAAAAAATTAGCTGGGCATGGTGGCACGTGCCTGTAATCCCAGCTACTCAGGAGGCTAAGGCAGGAGAACTGCCTGAACCCAGGAGGCGGAGGTTGCGGTAAGCCGAGATCTCGCCATTGCACTCCAGCCTGGGTAACAAGAGCGAAACTCCGTCTCAAAAAAAAAAAAAAACAAAAAACACAGATTACACCAAGTGTTAGTGAGGATTTGAAGAAACTGGAACACCTTCATACACTGTTGGTGGGAGTATAAAATAGTACACTTACTTTGGAAAAGTTTGGCAGTTTCTTAAAAAGTTAAACATAAATTTACCATACGACCCAGCAATTCCACTCCAAAGAATACACCCAAGAGAAATGAAAACATGCCTACACTGAGATTTGTTGCAAATATTCATAGTAGCTAAAAGTGTTCATAATAGGTAAAAACTGAAAACAATCGAAATGTCCCTCAGTTGGTCAAAGCCAATGATTTAGTGCAACAACACAGATGAAAAGACAAACTTCCTTTGTTTTTTTTTTTTTTTTTTTTTTGAGATGGAGTCTCCCTCTGTTACCCAGACTGGAGTACAATGGTGGGATCTTGGCTCACCGCAACCTCCACTCCCCCACCAGGTTCAAGCAATTCTCTTGCCTCAGCCTCCCAAGTAACTGGGATTACAGGTACACACTGCCACACCCAGCTAATTTTTTTGGATTTTAGTAGAGATAGGGTTTCACTGTATTGCCCAGGCTGGTCTCAAACTCCTGATTTCAGGCAATCCACCCACCTCAGCCTCCCAAAGTGCTGGAATTACAAATTTATAAAGACTGGAAACAGGCTGGGCATGGGGTTTATCCCTGTAATCCCAGCACTTTGGGAGGCTGAGGCGGGTGGATCACTTGAGGGCAGCGAGTTCGAGACCAGCCCAGCTAACATGGCGAAACCCTGTCTCCACTAAAAATACGAAAAATTAGCCAGGCATGGTGGCAAGTGCCTATAGTTCCAGCTACTCAGGAAGCTGAGGCAGGAGAATCACTTGAACCCGGAGACGGAGTTTGCAGTGAAGGAAATCGTGCCATTGTAGTCTAGCCTGGGCAACAGAGTGAAACTCTGTCTCTAAATAAATAAATAAAGCAGTCTGAAAACAGATCATTGGCCTGGGACGGGATTAGGGATTCAAAATAGGGTATTTTGGAGGGTGACAGAAATGTTCTAAAACTAAGCTGTGGCATTTGGTAATAATTCATTTCATATGACACCAAAAGCATAAGCAATGAAAGAAAAAAAACAGGATGATTGGACAGAATTTTTTTTTGAGACAGAGTTTCACTCTTATTGGACAGAATTTTTTTTTGAGACGGAGTCTCGGCTCACCGCAACCTCTGCCTCCTGGGTTCAGGCGATTCTCCTGCCTCAGCCTCCTGAGTAGCTGGGATTTACAGGCACCTGCCACCACACCCAGCTAATTTTGTATTTTTAGTAGAGACAAGGTTTCTCCATGTTGGTCAGGCTGGTCTCGAACTCCCTATCTCATGAGATCCACCCTCCTCAGCCTCCCAAAGTGCTGGGATTACAGGTGTGGGCCACTGCACCTGGCCAAAATCCAGAATTTTTGTGCAAGCTGGGTGTTGTGGTTCAAGCCTGCAATCCCACCATTTTGGGAGGCTAAGGCAGGCGGATCACGAGGTCTAGAGATCGAGACCATCCTGGCCAACGTGGTGAAACCTCCTTTCTACTGAAAATACAAAAATTAGCTGGACGTGGTAGCAGGTACCTATAGTCCCAGCTACTCGGGAGGCAGAAGAATCACTTGAACTCAGGCGGCAGAGGTTGCAGTGAGCTGAGATCACAGCATTGCATTCCAGCCTGGTGACAGAGCAAGACTCATCTCAAAAAAATAAATTAAAAAAAATAAAAAAGGCTGGGCGCGGTGGCTCAAGCCTGTAATCCCAGCACTTTGGGAGGCCGAGACGGGTGGATCACGAGGTCAAGAGATCGAGACCATCCTGGTCAACATGGTGAAACCCCGTCTCTACTAAAAATACTAAAAATTAGCTGGGCATGGTGGCGTGTGCCTGTAATCCCAGCTACTCAGGAGGCTGAGGCAGGAGAATTTCCTGAACCCAGGAGGCGGAGGTTGCGGTGAGCCGAGATCGCACCATTGCACTCCAGCCTGGGCAACAAGAGCGAAACTCTGTCTCCAAAAAAAAAAAAGAATGAAGTACTGATGCATGTTGCTATATAGATGAAACCTGAAAACATTATGCAAACTGGAAGATGCCAGTCATGAAAGACCACGTATTATTATGATCCCATTTCTGTGAAATATCCAGAATGGGCAAATATATAGAGACACAGAAAGCAGATTAGTGGTAGTCAGGGACTGGGGAGGGCTGGAGGGTGATATCTAAAGGGTATATTTTCTTGTGGTGTTGATGAAAATGTTCTAAAATTGATTCTGGTGACGGTTGCACAGTTCTGTAAATATACAAAAACTAAATTATATACCTTACATGGGTAAATTGTATGGTAAATTGTATTTCAATAAAGCTCTTTTAAAAAAGAATTAGGGCTGGGTGCAGTGACTCACACCTGTAATCCCAGCACTTTAGGAGGTTAAGGCAGGAGGATGGCT